TTAAGCACTAATAATTTACCATCATTGAGAAAATTGAATAAAACCAGCAAATACAAATCAAAAAGTGACACTCTTGGTAGTCTGCTTTTTATTTTGATAGCACTCTATACAGATAAACTTCACAACAAACAATAACAAATGCAACTGATAATCCTTTATGGATCCAGTAAAACTTACAGTTACAGTGGTAAAATATTATGCACTGATTCAGTGCACAGTAAAAATGATATGTAATATTAAAAAGTATATGTAGTACAAGTTGTAGTAAAGTGAATAATATAAAAAGCGAGTACAACAGTATATAATAGATTTATAATAGAATAAATTACATGTATAATACCAAAATAAATAAATGAATAACAATAGATGAATAAAAGCAAGTAGAATATGTAATATCAAGGGTGGAATAATACAGAATAGACAATAATTCGTGAGATTTTGAGTGAAAACCTCGTTCCATCAGCAAGGGCATTGAAGATTAAACGTGGCTGGGTCTTTCAGCATGACAATGATCCCAAACACACCGCCCGGGCAATGAAGGAGTGGCTTCGTAAGAAGCATTTCAAGGTCCTGGAGTGGCCTAGCCAGTCTCCAGATCTCAACCCCCTAGAAAATCTTTGGAGGGAGTTGAAAATCCGTGTTGCCCAGCGACAGCCCCAAAACATTACTGCTCTAGAGGAGATCTGCATGGAGGAATGGGCCAAAATACCAGCAACAGTGTGTGAAGACTTACAGAAAACATTTGACCTCTGTCATTGCCAACAAAGGGTATATAACAAAGTATTGAGATGACATTTTGTTATTGACCAAATACTTATTTATTGCTCACTGTAAATATTGTGCTCATAACACAATTTACTTTATGATATAAACTACAATATAAAAGTTAAAACTTAAGAATTAATTTAAACTTTGATTTCATATAAAGTCTCAGCTTTCACAGCTTAATAGCGATATCGATAGCTATTGATAGTCTGACACTGGTGGCTAATTAAGCTGTCAACATAAAGCTAAAAATGACCAAAAAAACATACATAAACAACTGTTCAGTCTTACCTGTGAAAGATAATACCCCGATCTGTTTTTATTATTGTGCGATATGTCTATGGTCACGTTAGCCTGATGGGACCAAACTCCCTTTGTGATTTTAAAACGTAAAGACAGTACCCAGATTTGAATACTACAGTCAGATTTAACTTCTACTGTTAATAAGATTTTGGTAGGCTACTATTAGATGGATAGCCTAAATGTCCTAATACAGATGGGCTACCTGTTGTTGTTTTTTTTAAATGTGATTGTTGGTACATTTTACCAGTTTCAAAAAAATACTTTCAAAACAAAAATTAAAATAGGAAAAATATACAATATGAAAATAATTGAAGACAAAATGTGTTTTACTGAGAAAAAACCAGATTTGGTTTTTAAAAAGCCTTTTTCCAAGAGGTACATCTGGAAAAAGGGGGGTCGTCTTATATTCGGGCCAATACGGTATTTTCCACATACTGTACATTTTTGTTGCTCCTCTATGCCCCGCCTTTCTGAAACATGTCAATTTTTACAAAGCTCATCGTTCTGAAAAGCGCGGTGTGCTCTGATTGGCCAGCTATCTAGTGCGTTGTGATTGGCCCAATTCCTCAAGCGTGTGACAGAAAAATGTAATGCCCCTTACCAGGTTCAGGAAACTTTCCTTTGTAAAATGCGCTGCACGCACGCTGCACGCACAAAATTTGGGTTGTACTGTTCTGGAACAGTGATGTAAATAAAACTTAACCACTG